TAGCAAATATGATAGGGAAATTGTGAATATTATTATATAATTAATACTAAGTGATTTAAGAAAAAAAGGAGGAAAAATTACGTAGATATTCTCAAGAGGAAATAGTAAACCGTATTCAGCTTCATAACTTAAAAAATCAGACTATCAATAAGAACATATTTCTTATAGAAGCATATAAAATATTCAAAAAGGTGGTGCTATCCAGTGCTATCTGTGGTTAAATTATTCCCGTAGATTATTGGAAAAAACATAGAAAGTAGTATAGCCATTTTGAAAAGTAGTTTGATAATTTGTATCAAGAAGCTTAAGTGTTACTTTGATCCAATAATTCTTTGATTCCTTCCCAAGAAAATAATTCTGGATATTGAAAATATGTATAAATATGTTTAAAGTAGTCATTTATGATAACAAATATTCCTTAAACTGAATGTTAAGTAAATTTTTGTAATTAATTTGATGCAATATTGGGTGCTGTCAAAAATGGATATTTTTATAAGGATTTTCTCAGGGTAAGTGAATGCATGTAACGTTAAGTTAATAAAGAAGACATTGCAAATAAATGTAACTAAAATTTAAAAAAAGCAAAACACCTCATGGGTAGAATTTTAAAAGGACAGATTTTAAAAGAATCTGGTAGACATTTACTTTTAAGCTCAATCAAGGTTTTAAGTATTTTAGAAATATCTGAAGGTTGCTTGTAATTTTTTCTGAGACATATATTTGTATGGTGCTCTTTATAAAGTTGGTGTGTAGGAGGGAGCCACGTTTGTTGGTGACTGTAGCCAGCTGCCCAGACCCTGTGTATCAGTGTTTCCTTTCTCTGCTGTTTCTCACATAAATATCCAGGAGGAGGGTATATACTGTTTTTCTGTTTCTTGAGAATTTGCAGATTCATAAATTCCTAAGATATATCCTTGCAAATTCCAGTGCTTCACTGGCTAGTGGTTGCCACTGTGTTATGGGGTTATATAATTTCCCCTCTTTTTAATATTTCTCTGACTTCTGAACTATCTTTAATGAACATGGTATTATCTTAAAAGCCTTTATCCTGTTGGCAGTTAATAATCTTTGCAGTAAACTCTTCTTCCTGAGGTAATATATTCTGCTTTTCCAGTAATGTCCTATCTGCTGTTAATCCCATCCAGACATTATACATTTTAACTCTAGAAGTTTGATTTGTCTTACTTTATTATCCATGTCTATTTGACATGGTTAGTCTTTTTTGGCGGGAGAACATATGAAATATAGTAACTGTTGTAAAGTCTTTGTCTAAAAATGCTATACTCTGTGCCATTGGCTCACACTTATTATTTAGTAGGGAAAATATTAAAATGCAAAAACACATTTTAAACATGTATAAGCTATAATCCTCCCCACTAAATTTAAGAATTATAGTATTAGAATAACATTGTATCTGCTATCTCTGCTAATTTTTCTAAATATTGTTAATGTTTGTATCCTAAATAATATATCATTTAGTCTTACATTTCTCAGTATAAATTATCTTTTGCTGTGTGTTTTCTAAAACTTGTTCTTCTTCCTTAACATTGTGTTAAGATTCATTGTTATTGATACATATACGATATGTACCCATCTGTCATGTGTTTATTTTTAATCCTCTATAGTAGTACTTGAATATATTACAAATTTTTTTTTCTTTTGTTTGTGGTTATATGGATTTTCAGCATTGTTTTTAACAGTGCTACTAGGAACATTCTTGTACATGTCTTCTNATAAAAACATCTCTGGATTATGTGCCTAGGAATGGAATATTTTGGTCCCAAGGGGTATACATGTGAAACCTTATTAGATAGTCCCATATTGTTTTCCAAACTAGTTTTTACTAATTTACAATGGTGCTCTTTTTACATATATACACACACACACATATATGCATACGTGTGTGTGTATATACATATGTAGATTTGTCCATACATATGTATATCCATATGTATGTATGTTACTGTTGCAATTAACACTGTAATAAATGCCTTCCTGCTCAAATATATTCACCTTTTTCTTCTTTTTTAAGATTATTATTTATTCCCAGAAGCAGAATCATTGATTTAGAGGATGTGATTGTATTTTCTAGTAGGCTGACCACCTTACTTTAATTTTGGTATTATTTGTCTTGACTTCTATTTACTTTTTAAAATTTAGTTTTATTATGAAAGTTACACATGAACAATATAGTCAGATAGTTCTACAAGATTTATTATTTAAAAATGGCAATGCTCTCCCCTCTTCTTGGCCTCATTTACTGCTTCTCAGAGGCAAACTTTTCATTCTTTTTCAGCTGATTGTTTTAGTATTTGCCTCCATATCTGTAAATAACCTGCTTGTATTTCCATTATTTAACTTTTAACTTCTTTGACTCCCCATTATGGAGCATGAAGATTTACCCTCCTCATTACTTCCAACTTCTAGCACCAACCCAGTTTTATATGTGCATTCCTCACTCATATAGTTTCTTCTAAATAAATACTTTAGTGCTAACATTATTATGAAACATAAATGCATAGCTGAATTATTTAGCAGTCGTTACACTTCTTTTTATTTTCTTTTAAACAAAGGAGAGGCTAGTAAAAGAAGGGACAATGGGCTAGGCCTGGTGGCTCATGCCTATAATCCCAACACTTTGGGAGGCCAAGGTGGGTGGATCACGAGGTCAGGAAATCAAGACCATCTTGGCCAACATGGTGAAACCCCCGTCACTATTAAAATACAAAAAAATTAGCTTGGTGTGGTGGTGTGCGTCTGTAGTCTCAGCTGCTGAGGAGGAATTCAGGCAGGGGAATTGCCTGAACCCAGGAGGCGGAGGTTGCAGTGAGCTGATATCATGCTCCTGCACTCCAGCCTGGCCACAGAGCAAGACTCTATCTCGAAAGAAAGACAGGACAGTGAGGAGTTTAGAATCAATAAAGATATTTTTCTATTGCAAAATAGGAAAACATGTTAGTCAGCATTAAGTCAGAGGTTCCTGAATGGAAGGGCAACTATAATAAACTAGAATAAAGTAATAATCTATAATATACCAGAACGTTTATTCTGGTAGACATGTGTATTATTGACTAGGATATTGAAAGCCTAGTAAAATGAGTGGTATGCTTGAATTCCTTTTTATCTAATCTAGTAGACTAATTTTTTTCTCATGTTACATAAACCAAGAGATAACTGATATCATTTCTTTTCCACTAAATGGTCTGGTCTCAAAGTTTTCTCTTAAGGACATGATAAATATATTACATTCAAATAGAGCAATTTTATTTCCTGCTACATCATTGTGGTATATCAAGGGATTCAACAGATATTTGTATTAAGTGACTAGGAAGTTAATTCTGGCTGTGCACTCCATATTTATTAAGGTTTAATTGTTATGATGTTAATTGCTATGTGTTATGTGCTGCCATATTTCAAAGCTTGGCATTATATATATTTTTAGACATTTACATATTTTTAAAAGTTAAACTAGTTATTTAATACTTTCATTGTTCTAACCTGGGCAAATTTTATGAATACTTTTATCTGATAGGATATTTTTATCTTTACCCATTCAGTGATCAAATTGGAAGAATATTGGAGAAATAATGTCACTTTGAATATAAACTCTCTTCTTTCTAAGGCTCTTCAGATTGGCCTGGAATCATCTACTCAAAAGATTGTGGTCAGAAAGACCAGGATTTAAATTCTGCTTTGCTGGTTATTAGTCAGGGGAATTTGTTCAGATTACTGAAATTCTTTGGGTTTTAGTATCTCCAACTAGGTATGATGATGTTTCTAGCAAGGTTGTTTAGAAAATTACAAATAACAGATGCATTAAAATAATAGACACCTTGTGTGTAGCTTAACGTAGTCTACCTGTTGCATCTTCAAAAATGTTCGTTATTTTTAATAGAATCATCATCATCATTTTGTTCTTAGCTCCAGTCTCTAGGTGTGCACTGATAGTGATTGTATGCATGCATCACATAAATGAGCGGGGAAATCTTAGTATCATAATCCCTCTGTTCTTCTGTGGTTGCGGGGCAGATGCTGGGGGTTGTTACTGCATATTTCTCTCTCTCTCTCTCTCTCTCTCTCTCTGTCTCTCTCTCTCTCTCTCTCTGTGTGTGTGTGTGTGTGTGTGTGTGTGTGTGTGTGTGTGTGTGTGTGTTTCCCCCTGTTGCTGCATGTCTCTTACTGAAAAGCAGGTTTATGGACTAATTAGTAAGTAAAATAATACAGGCCTTTCTCCCTCCTGGCCGCTGAAGCCCTTTCACTGAAATCTAGCATGTTGTTTGTTTACTTCTTAAAGTGAGTGATTGTAAATATGGCTTGGATAACTGGGGAAGTGGAAGCTGGTGATGGTTATATAATGTGATGAGGGCCATTTATTTTGCTTTTAGAAAATACTGGGGCCCAGCTACTCAAGAGGTCAAGGTGGGAGGATCACTTGAGGCCAGGAGTTTGAGACCAACCTGAACAACATAATGAGACACCATCTCTTAAATAAAAATAGTTGGGCATGACGGCAGGTACTATAGTACCAGCTACTTCGGAGGCTGAGGTCGGAGGACTGCTTGAGCCCAGGAATTTGAGACTGCAGTGAAAGATAATCACATGTGTGACTAGCCACTGCACTGGGTAGTGTATTGAGACTCCCACATCTCTTAAAAAAACAACAAAAAACTGTACTTGGCATCTTTAGAATTTTCCTAAAATATGACGGTATTTATTTACTTTAAAATACTAAATTCGTCACTTTCTAATGTGATCTCTTCACATTTCCTTAAACTTGTGATAATCACAATCATCATTTCTAGTCTTACCTTATCAAATCTGTCTCATTTGGAGCATTTAACTCCAGAAATTACTTATTAAGTAGAAAATATTTGGGAAACTGTGTTTTTTAAAATACACATTTTGTAAGGCAACCCTGTTCAATAGCCGTTTTTGTTTTGATACCTTGATATTTATTCAGTATTGAAATATTTGAATGCGTGTGTTTTTGTTTTAAACAGATTATCTTTCTCAAGGAATAGACCTTTCTGGAATCGAGGTGATAGAAAATGATCTACTTTTTATTGCAAGAGCCCGACTTGAAGTGGAAAATCAAGCTAAGCGCCTACTAGAGCAGGGTTTGGAGACTCAGGTAATAAAAACAAGACTTTTTAAATGTGAAAATGTGTTGTAATACAGGTGAACATCTGACTTTGAGTTCAAAAAAGTAATATATGTCTTTATCACTGAGAAAATATGTCTACAGTTTAAATCAGAAAGTAGGGCATAGTTAAGGGAAATTTTAATATACATATTTAATAAACATTTAATATATTTAATTTTAATAAACATTTATTAAATATGTTAAAGTTAGTATTTAACATATATTAACATATTTAATACATGTTTAATATATTTACTATATTAAATTTTAATAAATATATTAAATTTTAATAAACATTTACTGTATGTTTAATATATTAAACCTAATGTTTCAGATGTATAATGTATATAACATGAAATATATTTTATATGATGTACATATATAGATAGATAGCTAGTTGACCATGCCTGCTTTGCCTAAAGCACTGTTCCTTATTTAAGTCTTTCAGCAACCCAGTATGATTGGTATTGTTGTTAATTTTATTTTACAGTTGAAGAAACAGAGAAATAAGTTGTTGAAAATCACATAGCTAGTAAATTATTTAGTTTGGATTCAAACTTAATCACTCTAGACCCAGAACTCTGCAATCTTAATCACTGTCCCATAATTTAAAAAATTTTTTGACTTAATATCTACTAGCCCAAACTTCCCTTCCATTCTATTTTAGTGTCTTTCCCTCATTATCACCTTGAATATTGTCATTTAGCATTTGGCCTAAGACTCCAGTGTCTCTTCCTTTGATGATAGATTCCTATTTTTTCTGCCTCCCACTCCCTTGTTCCTGTTATAACTCATGCTTCTTTCATTAATCTAAAATATCAATCTCTTGGCTGGGCACAGTGACTCACACCTGTAATCCCAGCACTTTGGGAGGCTGAGATGGATAGATCACCTGAGGTTGGGAGTTCGAGAACAGCTTGACCAACATGGAGAAATCCCGTCTCTACTAAAAATACAAAATTAGCCGGATATAGTGATGAATTCCTATAATTCCAACTACTCAGGAGGCTGAGGCAGGAAAATCACTTGAATGTGGGATGTGGAGGTTGCAGTGAGCTGAGATCATGCTATTGCATTCTAGCCTGGGCAACAAGAGCAAAACTGTATCTCAAAAAAAAAAAAAGAAAAAGAAAAGAAAAATCATCAATCTCATAACTCATCTAGAGCATAAATGCCTTTACTATTGGATGGTTTTCTACTCTGTCAGCCTTATGTCTGTGGCTCTACGTAGAGCCTCTTCTCTGGCTCTACTTATTTTTTTTATATTAAATTGATCAAGAATGTGTCTCTTCAACTATTCTCCTAATTAGTGATTCTCAAACTTCACCATGCATCAGAATTGATAGGAGGACTTGTTAAAACACAGACACTAAGCCCAACACCCAGAATTTTTGATTCAGTAAATCTGGTACCAAGAACCATTGCTTTTGATGATACCCTCAAATGCTTTCACCCTTACCTTTCTACTACTCCTGCACAGCAAAATGCCGTCTGTGGACCATGTAATGTTTATCCCTATTTTGCTTCTATACCTAGGCTTTTCAGTGCTGTTTAAAAACAAAACCAAAACAAACAGAACACAGACCACTGTAATATTGATGTAACTAAAATTTATGTTTTCTGAGATGCATCTGGGCTCCAATTACTTTTTTATGCCTAGTTCCCTCTTCCATTTCAGAGATGGTTGTTTCATATTTTCTTTATTCACTATAAACCTCCAATCCCTTCTCCCTTATTGTCATGAGATATTCTTGTTACACTCCTTAGAAAGAAAATCAAGGTCACAAAGGCATGCATGTTTTCAATTTCATGCCATGTTCATTCTTAAAGATGCAAGTCCTTCAGATCTCTACCCTTCCTATTTCAGGCTAGTCCCACACCATCATTTTTGCCTTACTTCTGTACTTTGCTCTTTGGCTCATCTGAATCTTCAACCTTTTCGTTTTTATTAGCAGCAAACAATGATACTGATATTTCTCCCACTTAAAAGGAAAAAGAAATCTTCAATTTTAACTGTTTACTTAGTTTTATTTTGCAACTGTTTCCTAGTCTATTTACCTCACAGTTAAACTATTTGAAAGAACAGGCTGCTCTTTACTGTCTCCTTTTCTTGACTTCTCATATAGTCCCCAGTCTACACTATTGTGACTTCTAACATGACTTCTTCAATAAATCTACTTTCAGGGAGGTCACCAGTGACCTCCCAGTTTCCCAAAGGACTTTTATTTTATTTATATTTTTTTGCTTTTCTCAAATTTTTGACATTGGTAACCATTTCAACTTCTTGACACCTTCTTCTTAGTTTCTGTATCTCAGTCTCTCCTATTTTTTTTCTTTTTCTCCTGGCATTGCCTTTTGATTTCTTCATAGTTTAACAATTTCTGCTTGCTTCCTTATTCTTTGTGTTCTCTATATCTGTTCGACTACTTTTTATTCTAAATGCTTTTCCTTGATAATCTCATATATTCCCATTTGCTGATAACTTTAAAATCTCCATCTACATCCAAGATCTCTCTTGTAAAGACTAAATCTTTATAGCTACGTGCCCTGCCTACAGGATGCTTGTATTAGTTAAAGTTTGCTTATAGAGAACAGAACCTACTTTAGGAAGCTTTAGTAGATAGGGATTTATTTTATAGGATATGGTTGGGAGGGCTCAAGAAAAAGACCATTATCTGAGCTTCTCAGAACTACTGAACTGTGCAGAATTGGGCAACTTGGGCAGGTATTGCTTCCTCCATGTCAGCAAACTGCCTACTGGTGTTTTGTATAACCTTCAATGGATTTGATAGCTTCAGAGCCATATTTCTTCAACAGGATCCAGATCAGCAAAATGGATGTTGTCTGTTCTGCCTTTTGGCACTCATAATGCTAGGGACTGTACACTAGGCCCCGTTAGAACCAATAGAGGGAATCCAAACACCTCTATTACCAAGCTTGGCAGGGAAAACAACAGAAGTAGGAAAAGTGTTCCCTCTGCCATCTAAATGTCACACGATTACTTATGGTTAACAGAACGTTAGTCATATCTGGACCCTTTTACAGCAAACACATACTAAAAGTAAGCCAGAATGTATATTGAGCAACCTTATTCTTAGTATCATCCACATTATTCCATGAGGCCGTCACAATGACTCTGTAACTCTGAATATTAAAAAACAGAGTTGTCAAATATATCTTCTGTTGTGTTCATTAGGTACTATGGAGCACCACTATTCAACTGGGAAACTTGGAAATCAGCTCACCTAAGGACCAGCAAACTTTCTGCAAAAAGATAGATAGTAGATAGTTTAGACTTTGTAGGCCATTTAGTTTCAGTTTTTACTACTGAACTCTGTTGTTGTAGCAGGAAAACAGCCATAGACAATATGTAAATGCTTGGTTGTGTTCCATTAACACTCTATTAACAAAACAAGCAATGAACCATATTTGTCCGATGAGCATAGTTTGATGACTCCTGGTGTAATCTGATTGTTTGCGTATTCTTGTTTCATACCCTTAGCTTTCTTATCCTGGTTACTGTATTAGTCTTCTGTTAGTGTCTGATTTCCATTTAATATTCATACTGCCTCCACAGTGATCTTAATGTAAGGGATATCTAATCATGTTCATTTACTACTTAAAATTCTTCAACAATTTTGCTTATTATAAATCTCAAACTATAACCCCATCTGCTGCTTGCCATCTTGCTACATCTTCAAATGACACTTATGTCTGTCCCTTGGTTCCCTCAACATACCAGGTTTGTTCAGCCTCTGTAGTTTGTTAAATATTCTTTGAACACACTTACTGGTCTAATTTATCTAGCTATCTGTTTTGTATTCATTCTTTACCCAACTTAGTCCTTTTTTACTTCCCCCAAAAAGCCTTTCCTGATCTGCCAATATTAACATTCTGGTTCACTTCATGGAATTTACTGTATTTCTTATGTATAAATTAATATTTGTGTTTGTAACATCTCTGAGTTTAGTTGTGTGTGTCTGTCTTCCTCAGACCTGGGTGTCTCACAAAGTCAGGTTTTGGGTTTTGCAGAGTTGAGAGAATTAAACGCTTAATAATCATGTCACAGATATAAGGCTTCTTGGGAAGCAGGATGTAGTATTGGAAAGAGCCTGTGTTTTGGAGTTAGTGCCTTTTCTTGAGAGCAACAAGACAGAGGTGTCATCTAGCTGTGTCAGCCGGCAATTTAGGAATTAAGAACAAAAGGAACCATTGTTCAGCCTCTGTTCTTTGTCAGGCTCTGTGTTAGTCACTGTACATTTGTTATCTCAATTACAATAACAGATCTGTAAAGAAGATGTAATTATCCACTTTCTATATGGTTAAAGAAACAAAGAGATGGAAAGATTAGGAAATTAACTGAAGATGACATTCTATTACATGATTCGTGTAATAGAATCATGATCTGGAGCTTCTGCTTTCCCCCCTCTTTAGTAAGACCAAGCAGTTTATTCTAATTTTGTTAAACAATTATATTGAAAATTATTTGATGATTTGTGAAGCAATTTGTATGGAAAAGAATTTTTATAGCATAAAAGATTTTTTAAGGAAGTCTCCATTTGATGACTAATCTAAACTGGTCCTTCAGTTTTCCTCAAAATTTTTGTTTTCTGGCCAACTTTTTTGTTTCATCTTCTGAAATTACTCTTTTACACTTACATTACTTTCCATCATCCATCTCCTCTCGCTATACCCCCCATTTTACTCTGAGCAGATGTACTTAATTTCTGCTTTACAGAGAGTCCTTTCATGTCACCTCTGCTCTGGATCCTGTTTTCTATTTTCTTAGAACCTTATCTTGTTGACATTTCCATCCCTCATATCCCTTTTACTGTCCCCTTCTCATCAGCCTTGAAACGTGCACATTTTATGCTACTCTCCTCATATGCTCTCTGCTTATCAGTCTCACAAGCTTTCTATTAGTCATTCACATCCCATCTTCCTTTCTTCTTTAGGGCCTTGGTACTTTTTATGCCTGGAATACACTT